CCAAGGAGAAAGAGTCTTTTAATTTCATGGCTGCAGTCACCATCTGCAGTGATTTTGGAGCCCCCCAGAATCTCTCACCGTTTCCACTCTTTCCCCATCTATTTGCCAGGAAGTGATGGGACTGGATGCCATGATCTTAGTTTTCTGAATGTTGAACTTTAAGCCAACTTTTTCACTCTCCTCTTTCACTTTCATCAAGAGGCTCTTTAGTTCTTCTTTGCTTTCTGACATAAGGGTGGTGTCATCTGCATATCTGAGGTTATTAATATTTCTCTTGGCAGTCTTGATTCCAGCTTGTGCTTCATCCAGTCCAGATTTCTCGTGGTGTACTCCAATATAAGTTAAATAAGCAGGGTGACAATATACAGCCTTGATGTAGTCCTTTCCTGATTTGGAACCAGTCAGTTGTTCCATGTTCATTTCTAACTGTTGCTGCTTGACCTGCATACAGATTTCTCAGGAGGCAGGTCAGGTGGCCTGGTATTCCCATCTCTTTAAGAATTAAAAGAAAAAAAAAAGAATTTTCCAGTTTGTTGTGATCCACACAGTCAAAGGCTTTGGCATAGTCAATAAAGCAGAAGTAGATGTTTTTCTGGAACTCTCTTGCTTTTTTGATGATCCAACAGATGTTGGCAACTTGATCTCTGGTTCCTCTGCCTTTTCTCAATCCAGCTTGAACATCTGGAAGTTCACAGTTCACGTACTATTGAAGCCTGGCTTGGAGAATTTTGAGCATTACTTTGCTAGCATGTGAAATGAGTGCAATTGTGCAGTAGTTTGAACGTTCCTTGGCATTACCTTTCTTTGGGATTAGAATGAAAACTGACTTTTCCAGTCCTGTGGCCACTGCTGAATTTTCCAAATTTGCTGGCATATTGAGTGCAACACTTTTACAGCATCATATTTTAGGATTTGAAATAGCTCAACTGGAATTCCATCACCTCCACTAGCTTTGTACATAGTGATGCTTCCTAAGGCCCACTTGACTTCACATTCCAGGATGTCTGGCTTTAGGTGAGTGATCACACTATCATGATTATATGGGTCATGAAGATCTTTTTTGTATAGTTCTTCTATGTATTCTTGCCACCTCTTCTTAATACCTTCTGCTTCTGTTAGGTTCATGCCATTTCTGTCATTTATTGTGCCCATCTGTGCATGAAAAGTTCCCTTGGTATCTCTACTTTTCTTGAAGAGATCTCTAGTCTTTCCCATTCTATTGTTTTCCTCTGTTTCTTTGCATTGATCACTGAGGAAGTCTTTCTTATCTCTCCTTGCTATTCTTTAGAACTCTGCATTCAAATGGGTATATCTTTCTTTTTCTCCTTTGCCTTTCGCTTCTCTTCTTTTCTCAGCTATTCGTAAGGCCTCCTCAGAGAACCATTTTGCCTTTTTGCATTTTTTTTTCTTGGGGATGTCTTGATCCCTGTCTCCTGTACAGTGTCATAAACCTCTGTCCATAGTTCTTCAGGCACTCTGTCTATCAGATATAATCCCTTGATTAATCTGTTTGTCACTTCCATTGTAAGGGTTTTGATTTAGATCATACCTGAATGGTCTAGTGGTTTTCCCTACTTTCTTCAATTTAAATCTGAATTTGGCAATAAGTTCATGATCTGAGCCACAGTCAGCTCCCAGTCTTGTTTTTGCTGATTGTATAGAGCTTCTCCATCTTTGGCTGCAAAGAATATAATCAATCTGATTTCGGTGTTGGCCATCTGGTGACGCCCATATGTAGAGTCTTCTCTTGTGTTGTTGGCATAGGGTGTTTGCTGTAACCAGTGCATTCTCTTGGCAAAAGTCTATTAGCCTTTGCCTTGCTTCATTCTGTACTCCAAGGCCAAATTTGCCTGTTACTCCAGGTATCTCTTGACTTCCTACTTTTGCATTCCAGTCCCCTATAATGAAAAGGATATCTTTTTTGGGTGTTAGTTCTAGAAGGTCTTGTAGATCTTCATAGAACCATTTAACTTTAGCTTCTTGAGCATTACTGGTTGGGGCATAGGCTTGTATTACTGTGATATTGAATGGTTTGCCTTGGAAACAAACAGAGACCATTCTGTCATTTTTAAGATTGCAACCATGCTGCATTTTGGACTCTTTTTTTTTTACTATGATGGCTATTCCATTTCTTCTAAGGGATTCTTGCCCACAGTAGTAGATATAATGGTCCTCTGAGTTAAATTCACCCATTCCAGTCCATTTTAGTTCTCTGATTCCTAAAATGCCAATGTTCATTCTTGCCATCTCCTGTTTGATCACTTCCAGTTTGCCTTGATTCATGGACCAACATTCCAGGTTCCTATGCAATATTGTTTTTCATAGCATCGGACTTTACTTCCATCACCAGTCACATCCACAACTGGGTGTTGTTTTTGCTTTGGCTCCATCTCTTTCTTCTTTCTGGAGTTTTTTCTCCACTCTTTTCCAGGAGCATATTGGGCACCTACCAACTGGGGAGTTCATCTTTCAGGGTCCTATCTTTTTTCCTTATGATGTTGTTGATGGAGTTCTCAAGGCAAGAGTACTGAAATGGTTTGCCATTGCCTTCTCCAGTGGACCACGTTTTGTCAGAACTCTCCACTATGTCCTGTTCATCTTGGGTGGCCCTACATGGCATGGCTCATAGTTTCATTGAGTTAGACAAGGTTGTGGTCCATATGAACAGATTGGTTAGTTTTCTGTGATTGTGGTTTTCATTCTGTCTGCCCTCTGATGGAGAAGGATAAGAGGCTTATGGAAGCTTCCTGATAGGAGAGACTGATTGAGGGGGAAACTGGTTCTTTTTCTGATGGATGGGGCCATGCTCAGTAAATGTTTCATCCAATTCTCTGTTGAAGGGCAGGGCTGTGTTCCCTCCCTGTTGCTTGACCTGAGGCCAAACTATGGTGGAGGTAGTGAAGATAATGACCTCCTTCAAAAGGTCCCATGCAGCACTACTGCCCTCAGTGCCCCAACCCTGCAGCAGGCCACCATCAACCCACGCCTCTGCTGGAGACTCCTGGACACTCACGGGCAAGTCTGGCTCAGTCTCTTGTGGGGTCACTGCTCCTTTCTCCTGGGTCCTAGTGCACACAAGGTTCTGTTTGTGCCCTCCAAGAGTCTGTTTCCCAGTCCTCTGTAAGTTCTGGCAGCTCTATGGTGGGGTTAATGGTGACCTCCTCCAAGAGGGCTTATGCCATACCCAGGTCTGCTGCACCCAGAGCCCCTGCCCCTGCGGCAGGCCGCTGCTGACCCGTACCGCCACAGGAGACACTCAGACACAGTTCTGCCTCAGTCTCTGTGAGGTCTTTGGGTCCTGGAGTGTCCAAGGTTTGTTTGAGCCCTCTGAGTGTCTCTGGTGGGTATGGAGTTTGATTCTAAACGCGATTTCACCCCTCCTGCCGTCTTGCTGGGGCTTCTCCTTTGCGCTTGGACGTGGGTTATCTCCTCAAATGTGGGGTATCTCCTCAGATGTGAAAAGCCACAACCAAATGGAAGATGTTAACTACTTGATGACCTGGAGCACATAGCCCCAGGCCTCCTGGAGTTGAAGGAGTGATAAAGTTAACCCCTGTGACACCAACCTGTTACCTCACTGTCAGTCAGTCAGAGAATTGTGCCTGAGCTGATCACACACTCTGTGACCCCTTCCCTCACTTGGCCTTTATGTAGCTCAGTTGGTAAAGAATCTGCCTGCAGTACAGGAGACCCGGGTTGGATTCCTGGGTCTGGAAGATCCCTTGGAGACAGAAATATCAACCCACTCCAGTATCCTTGCCTGGAAAATCTCACGGACCCAGGAGCCTGGTGGGCTGCAGTCCATGGGGTTGCAAAGAGTTGGGCACGACTGAGCGACTAACACTTATTTACCAAAACCGTTCAGGAACTGGGGGATTTTTTTGTGTGCCTGAGCCACCAGTCTCTTTGCATGACCCTGCAATAAACTCTTCTCTTCTCCAAACTCTCACATTTCAGTTTGTTTGGCTTTACTGTGCCTTGGTCATATGAATTCACACTTACAAGGTGGCCAAACTTCATTGTTCTTGTTACGTTTTCTGCAGCCTTTGCTTTAGAGTTTAAAAAAAAAAAAATCCTCACACCTAAGCCTTTTCTTTGTTGACAGTTCAACATTCTCTATCTATATGTCTTGCTTGCTTCTGTGAGAGTAAGTGTAAATACACCACAGCATTCTCCAAATCAGAGGAAAGAGGAGTATTTTCCTTAAACACATGCCTTGCAAGTGTGGCCCCATCAACATTTATTGAACTCCAAGACAGAACAGAAGGTGGAGGTACCCAGATGAATAAATACGGTGTCTGCTCTGCAGCTGATGTGGCTTCCTGTTGGGAGTTGCCTTGCATTTGCAGGAGCCATTGACCAGCAGGACTTGCAGAGGAGGCCCAAACTTCGCTCTGGAGTCCAATGGGCTCATGAAAGCTCCCGCACCCCCTAGTGTTTGCCGCTCGGGAGGCACCTCTTCTGCCATTCCCCTTACTTGATGCCGAGAGACGATTAAAGATCCTTTTCTAGTACCATAGCGGATACATCGCAAATCAGGACTTCTGACTTCAGCGCTTCTGCCCTCACTCCCTCCTAAGGAGCCACTGCGCTCCCCAGCGGAGAAACGGCGGTGGAACCCCAGGGGCCGCCCCTAACCTCTGGACACCTTAAAGTCCTCCTTAAGGAGCTCGCTGTCTCCACCACCTCCCCTCGTGGAGTCCCGCCCCGACGCGCCTCGTCCTGTGCCTCCGATTGGTTGGCTCCTGTGCGTGAAGACGTTGCGTCGTGGGGCGGGGCGAAGCAGCGTTGACCACGGGGCCTGTGTTCTGTGTCCTCGGCCGCCGCCCCCGCTGCCGCGCTGTATCCGCCCCTCGCCTGCCCTTAGAGGGTACCGGCGACAGCCGTTTCTCTGGGGGGTCGCGTAGCCGCCAGACGTCTCCGCCGAGCTGCTTTTTCTAGCTGGCTGCTGTTCTCGGCTCGGTCCAGGTCGGGGGGGGGGGGGTGGGGAGTAGGGAAAAATGGCGCCGGCGCCCCAAGGCGTTCGGGAGGAGCCGCTGCTGGAGTGTGGGTCAAGATTGCTTTCCCGGCTGCTCTTCCTCGCCCAGGCAGTGCTGCTCCTGCTACCAGCCGCCCGTGCAGGCCTCTGCCCCGCGCCCTGTTCCTGCCGCATCCCGCTGCTGGACTGCAGTCGCAGGAAACCACCAGCGCCCAACTGGAGGGCGCTGGCGACCTCGCTGCCCCCCGATGCCGTCAGCCTGTGAGTAGAGTTGCTGGGCGGGGACCAAAGGAAAGCGGGGGAGAGTGGGTGGGTTCCCCCTTCCAGAGGGGCAGGAGAAAGATGCCTGGCCGGAGGGTGCGGCCGGGAGCCTAAGTTCTGAAGGGAAATGCCATTGCGATGTTGTGAACTTTTGGGGATGATGGTGGGAGCCTGAAATCCTGGTGTTAGGGTTCTGGAGACTTGTATGAAAACCACAGTTAAAATTCTTGGGACCTGGGAGTATGTGATTCCTGGGCTGGGAGGAGTTGGGGCGGGGATGTTAAGAGCTCACTGGTTCTGGGGCACCAGCATTCGCTCTGAATGGTTGGGGCTCCTCGGCCACTTTGGGCTGCATCATCCAATGCATCAGCTTGAATGATCCCCGGGTATGTGATGTTATATCCTTATCATAAAGACTTATGTACTGTTTTTTGGCTGTCCACGTTTTGGCTAGTTTTGTGCTGTTTTTCATATTTAACTGGGTTAAAACTTCATGTGTTACTACATCCAGTGCTACCTTGAACAAGCATTTTTATAAAGAGCATTTTTCTTCTACTTTAAGAGTCACTGTAAAGAAGAAGGCTTATCCGTGACAATTAAGTGATGGGCATTTCCTTGTGGCAAATAATCTAAAAATCAGTACTCTTTGTTTATGTATAAGAAGCAAGTACCATGGTTGGATGAATTCTTCTGGAGACTCCACTGCTGAGTGCTCATCTTGACAGGCCTGTGTTAGACAGTGGCACCTGAGGAGTTCATTAGTCTGAGTCAGCCTGATGGCATTAGGAACAACAGTAGGTATTAAATGCTGCAATTATGGAGCTTCTTAACCACTACCATACAGTTATTTTCCTGCCACTAACTGAACAATGTATTTATTAATTGACAGAGTCATCTCTAAAAAAAGTCCGAGGTGAAAAATAGATCCAGGTGTGGCTAAAGTATGAGGGGCTGTTGGATGTTTGACTGAAAACAACAAAATTCTGTAAAGCAATTATCTTTTAATTAAAAACATAAAAAAGAAATGGAATACAAATAGAATGTCTCTCTTTGCAGTGGTTAAAACCTTTATACATTTGCAAATAGGTTACGTTAGGAAAGAAAGCTACTTTGTAAATTCCTTGAGGAAATTAATGTTAACAACCAAATGTTGTCATAGCATAGACCTGCAGTGTAATAAGGTGTTTTCTGTTGTTTTAGGATAATGATAACTTTAACTAATTCTGATTCTCTTGACACAGATAAAAGGTAAAAATTTATATCAATGTGCAGCATAGTCTGAATTAAACCTAGTATAGTATCTTAGTAATGCAACAAGTACCTTTTCCTAAGAAATTCTTGAAACAACTATCTGATTATGACAGACTAAATCTGGTGCAGGTTTAAAAACAACACAACTTCATTTAGCTGTAATTGAAATGAATGTGGCCTACTTTTCAAGCTTATCCATTGGTAGATAAACAATAATTAGAAATAGTTTCATGTCGGATACATTTATTTTATGTCGAGGTTTGATTTTTGTGTAATGAAGACAAATTGCCCAAAGCCAAATAAAATTCAAAAATTTTAAGTGTCCTCTAGTGAAATTGGCATTTGCAGTTGAAGTGAAATGCCTTGGAGAGCAATTCTCTTGTAGAAATGTAACTGGATGGAAGCCTTACATTAGCAAAAGAACTATTACGATATTAAAAGATGGGATTGTGCTATTTTAAACTGAGAAATACAACATTTTAAAAAAAATCAGTTGCTTTCAGCTATGAAACCAGCAGTGCACATGGGTTTATGTACTTTTGAATCTTTAAAACACATTCAGTGCTTTAAATTATTAATGAATCAAACTCAAATGCTCTAACTTGTGGTAGCCATCAGAAAGTTGGTAGACAAAATTCATTAATCCTGGGTTCTAAAATATGTATCTGTCCCCAGTTACAGGCTTCCCAGGTGGCTTACTGATAAAGAATCCACCTGCCAATGTAGGGGATACAGGTTCGATTCCTGGGTTGGGAAGGACCACTCCAGTATTTTTGCCACGAAAATCCCATGGACAGAGGACCTGGCGGGCTATAGTTCATAGGTTCACAAAGAGTTGGACATGATTTACTGACTTAATATAAACGCTTCCAATTACTTACCCAGAGCCCCTGAAGCCCTTCTAATTTCCAAAGTGATAGGAGAACTAGGAGCGCCTTTCATTTTTGTGTTTGGTCTTTGACCCTGATTCCTGACACAGAACTCATACATCTCTTAGCATTTTCTGGGTGATAGGAATGTCTTTTGACCAAATGAAGTGACTTTTAGTTGGCTCCAGGATGGATTCAGGATGGGGGCTGGTCACCAGAAAGACTAAGCCGTGATTAGAAGCGTGGAACTTTCAGCCCCATCTCCCCTCCCCATCCTCCTGAAAGCGGAGAGGGGCTAGAGATTGAGGTAATATTTGATCATGCCTGTGTGATGAAGACTTCATAAAAGTCCTAAAGTATGGAGTTCAGAGAGCTGCTAAGTTGGGGAACACATCTACTGCGCGGTATGCTGTGAGGGTGGTGCATCCCAACTCCATGGAGACAGAAGCTCCTGCACTAGACCCTTCTGGATCTCACCCTCTGTATGTCTTCATCTGGCTCTTCATCTGTGTCCTTTATCGTGTTTTTTATTACATAGTAAGCCAGTAAATGTGAGTAAGTGTTTTCCTGAGTTCTGTGAGCTGCTTTAGCAGGTGGTTGAATCCAAGGAGGTGGGTCTTGGGAACCTCCAATTTATACCAAGTTGACAGAAGTTGCAGGCAATGTGGGGACTTGTGATTGGTGTCTGAAGTGGGAGGCCGTCTTGTGGGACTGAGCCCTTAAGCAGTGAGGTCTACACTAATGCCCATTAGTGTCAGAATTGAATTGAATTGCAGGACAGCTAGCTGGTGAAGGAGAATTGGTTGGTGTTGGGGGGAAAAGGCACACATCTGGTGTCAGAAGTATTGTATGTGTGAGTAAAGGAAAAAACCAGTGACAAAAATTTTTTGCTTGACCAAACTTTAGTCAGTCTCCTGAACCTTATCCTCGGCCCTTTCTGCACATTCTTCTAAAATGCAGTTTTAGCGGTATCTCTACTGAGTCAGTGTAGTGGGAATCCCCCATCCTCAGTGTCTGATCAGATTCCTCCACCTATACCACCCCCCAGGTGATATTTGATTACCCTGGCCTGTCTTCAGCAAGAATCCTGTTGGGTCTGTTGAGTTAAAAATCCCCTTTCCCTGATGTTTACTCATAGTAATTTTCCATTCACCAACCCTACTTGGCTCCTTAGCTGTGAGTTTCCTCTTATTCATGGAGTATTCAGAGTTAAGCCCAATCTCTTTTCCCAAACTTCAAAACTTCTTTGCAGTGGTTCCTTTATGGAGAAAGCCTCATCCCCCAAAGTCTTCCTTACCATGCTGTAACAAGTATCATTGAATATTTTTTTCCTTTTAACAGTTTGTGGTGCCACAACTCGGGATAGGATCAGATTCATCACTGGACCCCCGGACCTCTCACCCAGGACCCTAAGTGCATACCTTTGAAGTCTTTATCTTCACTCCTGACTGATTGATCGGGGATCCATTGGTGAGTCCGACTCCTGAACCATTGCACCGGACAAACATCCGTGGAAGCTGGTAAGGACAGATTTAGATGTTTAAGAGTCTGAGTACAGTTGACCTTGAACAACATGGGTTTGAACTATAAATAAATACTCCAGTACTACACGGTCCATGGTTGGGTGAATCCACAGATGCAGAACCTTGAATACAGAGAAACTTCATGTTTGGAAGGCAATTACAGGTTACCTGTGGATTTTTAACTTTGAAGATGGTCGGTGCCCCTAACCTTCATCTTGTTCAGAGGTCAACTGTATGCTCCAGAAAATGGGATGGAGTCCTAGATAAACACAGGCTGGGTTAGAGTCTCAGGTTCTGTGTTTGTAAGAAAGCTCAGTTAAGAGTCCTAGGCTTCTTTGTTTGAAGAAACTGGCCTGGAAATCTCTTCTTCCTGGCTCTGTTTTTCCTGAGTGGGGATTATTCCTTGACCCCTTATGCTGGAAATCTTTCTTCCTGGCTGGCTGTGAGGCCTCTCTCTCTCTTGGGTCCTCCTCCTCCCATGAGAACTTATCAGATGGCTCAAACACCCTTCTTGAATCCCTGCTGACTCTGTCTGCCTCCCTTCTTGTTGGCATGCTTTTATTGAGGATAATATGGAATTTCACTGACTTCTTTGGCAACTTGAGATCTTTCTACACTGGCTCCTTTAAGACCTCTCCTTTCTCTTTGCTCTGCTCCTCCTTTGCTCTCTCACCGCCTTCAGTCTTCCTTCCAATTCCCTTGAATCCTGTGATGCCTGTGTGTGTGCTAAGTCACTTCAGTTGTTTCCAACTCTTTGCAACCCCACAGACTGTAGCCTGCCAGGCTCCTCTGTCCATAGGATTCTCCAGACAGGAATGCTAGAGTGGATTGTCATTCCCTTCTCCAGAGGATCTTCCTCACCCAGAGATTGAACCCATGTCATGTCTCTTACACCTCCTTTGGCAGGCAGGTTCTTTACCACTAGCGCCACCTGGGATATGTCTCCCTCAAAATCCCTTCATCCTTCATCCCTATGTCCACCCTGCCAAACCTTTTTTCACCTCCATCTTTGTAGTCACTTGAACTTTGGACCACCTGCTCTCCACTGGAGGCTATTAAGGAACTAAGGGCCCCCCAAAACAACTGAAAAAGAAAAGGCTGATTGGAAATACACTGGATGTTTTCACCAGTTGAATGGGCTTTGGAGACATCCAGATAAGTCTTTTGATATCTTCTTAGTCAACACCTAAAAAATTTGGTCCATAGTCTCCATATGATTACATATCAGGGCAAGGGAAGGTGGTCTGTACAAAATTGGTAAACAGATAACCTTAACTTGTCCCATTTGCCATAAACACAACTCACATAAAAATACAGTGAAAATACAAGAGGTTATTATTTTATGTAAACCAGTGAG